AACATTGTTTTTGCTCCTTACCTTGAAGATCGCTGGCGTAAATTATCTACTGATAGACGATACGTGGAATTCAAATTTGGATATGTTCTGGAAGCAGCCATATCGAAGTCGGTGGATCAATTCTTCCCTAGCAGAATATTGAATAAAAATGGTTAGTGCAATGTTTGGGTCATTGTCAATATGGTCTGGTTGGCACTTCTTATTCTTATATATATTCACCTCTGCATTCACGATCATCTTGACTCAGTTCTGTTAATTACACGATTGAAGCCCTGGGACTGGATTAGTATTTGTATTCACAATGAAAGAAATCAAAAGTTTTAGTTACTTCTAGGTACTGACATTTCATGGCGCATTTTCCTACCATTTCCAAAAAGATTAACAAGACCAGGTATCGTCAGCTAAAGACTTCTCGCTAAAATGATATTAGGTACCGATGCTGAACGCAACGCTTGAACTCTTTACTTTCCAACGAGATGTACGCAACTGAATATTAACAAAATTTCACTCTGCTGTATGCGATCACTTATGCGAGTGTTCAGGATCAACCTCTTTTGCCCCACATTTGAAATGCCTTTGGCATCTACCTAATCTTAGAAATGTATTCTGTGTAGAATGATCTTTCCTAATATATTCTCCTAATAAAGGATTTTATCATCACCCATTTCCTGCATGCTTTAAAATTTCTTTGACATACTCTTAAAGTTGTACCTTTTGCCATTTTCGACCGAATGCATGCATGTACCTTTTTTCACCTTCTTTATTGATTTCTTTCATTCGAACTTCAGATATTTCGTATACTTTATTTCTTTGTCAAATGTTAAATCATCCTCTCGCAATAATCTCTTTAGCACATCTTTAGCAATTTTTCCCTTGGACCCAGATCCCTGCCTTGCCTCAGGTTGAGAAATGCATCAAACGTATGTGTTGGCTTGTCTAGGCTTAGAAAATTCTAGAAATATATCTGCCTTTCTGGCCATTATATATTATAGGAAATATACCAACTTTTCATAACATTTGTGTAAAAAAGTTAGCAATATTAGCTCTTTTATTCGAGGCCAAACATCCGTAAAATAAAGCAATCAATGCAAGCATATTTTCTGCACTTGCTATTCTAAAATAACATCTCGCGTATTCCTTAGCCGTTTATCAACACACATGACACCATGTAGTGTTTGTATGTCTGATCTCAAACTAGGATTCACACAGATTGCGATGTCAAAATAAAAAGAAATATATTTTAACATGGTGGTGTCAAAATAACAACGAAAGTGACCCGACCAAAGTACTGGGACTAATATAACAGTATATGCAAATGTGTCACACAAATGTGTTAGGCTTTAGTATTTTCGGACCACGAACACACAGGAACCAAATCTAAAAACCGAGAATTATTTGTGCCCTAACGAGTGATGACTTTCAATACTCTTTTACGAGATGAAAAAATTGAGGTACAATTGATTTTGTTTTATTTGGGTTTATTAGACTAAACGCCTCCCAATATATCTAACAGTAGGAAGGTATCAGAAGGTTTCGTTGAGCGGAACTTCAAAAAATGTTTCCTCCTTAGTTTTTGTTCTAATATCGTTCACTAGACTCAGCGAGTCCCAATATATCATTTTAACACTGGAATATCAGATGATTTTCTAAAAACACGAATAATTATAATAACTCAAAATTTACATAGCAGGATAAAATCGTGAGGCTGGCTACGCCACTGATAAGTATAGCATACATTAGCAATTAATAATGAAATATTGAATGAGGTCGAGCAAAATATCGTGATTTGTCGGCCGATGGCGATGGCGAGCAGATCAATTATTTGCCGAATCACGACATTTTTCCAGAACCGAGTTCAATAATTGATTTATCATTCACCATCCACTTTTCATTTTTGAGTTCGTTGTAAAACATTACTATGGAAACACTTACATCGAGCTTTTCACACATATTTTATTTAACCAAGAAACTCGCTTATATATAGCTTACACAAAAATATCATCTGATTATAAGAACCTGGTTTGTTTAACTAACAAAACATTGATGATTGATTTAGTCGCTTTTTTAGTGTTTTCTGCATTTTTATCTTCGCTTAACGAAGACAATCCAGCTTCGCACATTTCGGCACAGCGAGTCGCCATTGTCATCTTTACATCGATGCGCATGCTCGGAGTATTATTTGCAGCTTAGCAACGTTTTTAACAAATGCGCATGCTCAAAGTATTATTTGCACGCAGTTAACCGCAGATAAATGGACCAATCAAAATTGAGGAATAAATATAATTAAATATTAGAAATAATAAATAATATAGTAATAGTTGTTGTTTAACAACTATCCGCTAGGTGAATATTGTAAGAAAATTTTTACGTAAAAGCTAAATAAATCGTGTCTTTATGCACTATTGGGATCAATCTAGTGCTTAATTATGCAACTAAATATCTAATTTCGAAAGAGTTTACAGATTTGTAATCAACACTCTATAGTGTGTATAAAACTGAAAAGCAACACTCAAATTTAAATATTCTAAAATTATTTGTTAAAATATACATGCATATATACAAAAATATACATATACAACAATATGAACTATTGAATATTGATTTTTGAGTAGCTCAATAACCCACAATACTTCTATAAATATTTCTATTCAATCTCCACGACATTCCAAGAAAACCATACATTATAAGTCTTTCAATTTTTTTAGAATAACTTGAAACAAAAGAAACGATCTTATGCTGTTACGTATTAGAAAATCGATGGAGCCTCTTTAGGCAAACGACTGAGGTTGTTGCTAGATCTTAAATTTTTTATTTTGAAAATAAGATGAAGTAGCATTTGTAAAGGAACGGATCGAAGAATGAAGTGTAAAAATGGTCATATTTTTGCCTATTAAATGCTTCTTTAAAAACCCATATCTATCAATATCGCGGTTTCAATCGACACGCGATATTTATTGGGACAAGTATATCAGTCTTAATTTTTTTTGTTTCGACTATTTTAAAAAGAGTAATGTTTGTTATAGTTAGTTTTCAACTTCTTCGCAATTAGTTTTTATGTCAAAGTAGCTATCATTAACAACGAATCTGATCGCAGCTAGTAAAAAATAAATTGTTCTTGGTTTCACGACAATATTTATGGGCAATTTTGCTGTTAGTAACACGTTAAATGCTGTGCCGCTGAATTCAAAATTATACGCATTATCACACAGGTTTGCTATTTCATAGGAAATACTAGAGTTGTGCTTTCTACGCAACAAAAGCAGGCATCTTTTATTTTCATCAACTAATTCCGATTCGGTTTCCACTCCAAACACGCTCCGGGTTGCCAAGGTTCGTAAAGCATCGGATGTCATCATCGCAGCCTCTTCGCTATCCCTCGGCAAGCAGGTGCACAACTTTAACTCTACACCGTTATCGACGCATTTTTGATAGCGATTATACAGGGTATGTCTCTCAAACTTCATCAGTTGTGCCGAGACGACAGTTTCGTCCGGTATTGATGGTGTCTCGATCAACACCTGAAATACTTCAACCACATCTGGAAGTGCAGATTCTACTAGAAGATCCATAGTTACTTCCAGTCTTTTTCCGGCTTGCCTTTCGGCATTATTTCTCGTTTGCAGTCCTCGTAGCCGTACGCAAGAACCGTACCTCTTGTTTGTTTGCTAGAAAGAAGATGTTCTCAAGTTGAGGATAAACGTTTATGTTTAACAAAATGTGTGAAAAATCAATTAATAAATTTATATTAGATTACTTATTATATAATATATAATAATAATAATATAATAATTATAATAATTAATATAATATTAATTATTACTAATATTATATTCATTATTATTATTTCTTCCTTCTTATAGATAGGGTTTCCTAGTTTATATTGTATTCATGTAGAGCTCTTGTCATTTTAAGTAAGCATCCAGGGTCGACCGCCCGTGACTTATGGCGGACGACTTTGGATTTTAATTACTTTATAATATTGTTTCGTCAGAAGGTAAACCACATGCTATAGACCTTACCTTTTATAAATTGGTCCTGTATCATATTATTTAGCTGCCCAATAGCAAACTCAGCTAACCAGACATGTTTCGGGGAGTTATCCTCAACTTTCTGATCCCAGCCTTCGCATTTGCATCTAGTCAGTGGGGTTAAAGGCAGAGTTTCACACGTACGGTTTCTAGGCAACATCGAAAGGATGCCATTGACCTTAAAATCTTTTGATTTCATTTTGACTGGATTGTTTAAAGACATCAACATTTGATGAATATCGAGTGTCGTAAACAGTCGTCGTTGATTTTCCACCAATGAGTGTACTTTGTCTTCGCCGAGTATTGCCGCGACATCTTCCGGAAGTATCACGAACATCAACGGATTCGAGAGTTCAAAACGGCCCTCCACTGTTTTAGCAAAATCTGTTCTTGTGTGTCCGTGATCGGATAAGAATATGGTAAGTGTGTTTGGATCACGTGCGAGATGTTTGACGTAATTTGCAAGCCCAAGGTCATCGTTATGAATCCGCGTTCCAGAAGATGTGTGTCCCGTTTCCAAGTGAAGATAGTGAAGGATTGGGAGGGAATCCTTTCTCTTACGAATTGCCCTGATGGGAGGGAAGAAATTAGGAGGAGCTACGTGCACGGGGTAGCTTTAGCAGGAAGAGTAATCACTTTTTGAAGTATCGTAGGATATATTCTTAAGCACTTAAAGAGATGCTGGAGTACGGCTATCTTTCCGATTCTAACTTATCAAGGGATCTCGAAAGACTGGTCGTTTCAGCTGGAGGTTCGCTCGAGGACAACAAGCTACATGTTAGCTGGGAAAATGGTGTAGCTACTGTTGTTTAAAATTTCATTCATTTTGATGTATCTCTGTTCAAATAAAAATATTTCAGCCAGTCTTACTATATCGCCATCTTGCATTAATTACCTGAGGTAATCGAGGTGATATTGGAGGAAGTACGTACTGATGAAGTCACCATTAAGGCACACTTGCTCTGGTTTATCGAAATCGTTAGTCATGCCATATTTGTCAAGAACTTCACATCCAAAATGAGTCAACCCATAATCGTCAATGTAGTAGCGCTTCCATCGATTATTAAGCTCTTTCCACCTATAGAAGAATATAAATCTGAAACTTATATGCTTTAAAGTGGGTAGGTCAGGCCTAAAAACAGACATTTAACCGATATACATGATGTCATAACCTGGGTAAATTTGTTTTGTAACTTCGAATTCTCGAGTCGCTGGGATCTAAATTTATAAAATTTGTAATTTGTAAATCAGAAGACTGCTTTTGACGTCGAGCAATTAGATCTCATGAAACTAAGATGGCGGATAGCTTATTAGTTTTGCAAGGGAATATTTTGAAAATTAAATAATGAAGGTAAACAAATTCTATGAAAGACCCCATGAGGTATGTAAATCTGTTCTTTACAACAACACAACCATGATTTTTTGCCACATACTCTGAATGAAATTCAAGATGGCGTCGTTATTGGTGAAAAGGTGAAAACAAAGTGTAAAATATAATTTTAAAGAGAATTGCAATGGTAACAAGAAGTTTTTGTACGTTTTTAGTAACTCGTTGTTTCAGGATGATTCTTTGCTGCTATTTATACTTTTCAGTTAGTCTCAAATCAACGAGACTCACGCTTGCATTCGAAACGTTCACTCACACTAATTGAGTGTGATAAAAATATTGTTATCAGCATGGAACAAACAAAAATAGATTTTTCCTAATCCATGGAACTACCTAAGGTAAAACTTTGAATATAAAATCAATACAGGCGTTAAAGGGCACGATTCGTTATTCGTTTAAAGATCACCCATATACAATTGATATTGATTCCAATTCAATCATTCCGTAGTCAAATCATTCTGTGCGCCAATCTTTACCTCTTGGAAAAATCTCTCATGTGACTGGGAGTCTTGTATTTCTCCATGTCAGTCAACGTCAGACCATATCTATCATACCAACACCCTTCTTCTTGGAACAATGTTTGATATCCAGATTTCTTGTATTCTCCAAATAGTACAGGTATACCGAGCGACTTACCCAGCTTTCTCTTTGTACTATTAAATTGTTGATTAGTATCTGAAAAGTTTTGAATATTTTAAAAAAATATAACATGTATACTTCTGGCGGAATATGGACATCATCAAGTTCTAGAAACGCAGTTAGCGAGTGGAAATGTTGCCAGATCGATAACTGGGGGTAAAAATATTCACATATTCCTATTTACATAATATGAGAACAATTTATTTCAAAACAGACGAATAATATAGAACAGTAATACATGAATACCCTTTGCTAATATTCAAATAGTCGGAAGCAACATGATTAAAGAAAATATAAGAACATAAGAAAAACAGGAGTTAGCCACTATGAAAAATAAACCTTGTTAAAAGATTTGTAATCTCATGGAAGTTTGTTCAAGCACATTAAGTTTTGTCACTGCATTATAGAAGAGGTGTTTACTATCGACGGGGGGTATATTTGACCCTTCAAACCTCTTCACGGTTCCGTTATGTGATTGTTTAAAAGTGTCCATTCTTTTAGAAAGGTAAAAACGGTATTGACTCCAAATTTCATGTCGGAAAAGGTTGTTAAAACTTTATTTAGGGTTAGCATGAATTTGTATGAAGAGCAATAAAGATCGTGGATGTTAAAACCTTGACGATATCTTACATAAAATTTTATTATTCTGGTAAGTGTAAAATTATTGGAGATATTGCCAATTATATTTCTTACAAAACTGTAAAACATGCATTTATAATAATGAAAATTTGTAATTAATAAATAGGCGAATAAATTTAATAAAAAACCCAAAAAACTATCGGCGCGCTAGTATATACGAACTCATTTCTTTAAGTTGTACATCATAATTCTTACTCACATGTGGTAACTCCAGAGTACAGAGGTTTACAATTATCTGTTGTATGTTGACTGATACTCTGAAGCAGTTCAAAGTCTAAAACCGTCGCCGGTATGCTGTCGTCGTACACCACTTGACGAAATGCTTCAATGGTCCGTGGCATTGAGCGATAGAAGTGCGGTCTGGAAACTGAATCTATTACGACGATATTTATGTTTATCTTCTTATTGACCTGCTTTCTTCTGGAAGACAACCATAGCTTTCTTGGTAACACCAACACTTGTTTCAAGCTACCGCATTGCAAAAACACAAAATTAAAGCCATTTTCCATGCTACGGTGAATGATTTCTTCTATTTTAGCATCACTAGGGGAATATTCCCATCGAACGATTTTTCCATGGCTTGAGCTCATCTCCCCAATGTATGGCTTTCGCGGGAAACAAGTCGACCAATCACACTCTAGACTGAAACCTGCTGCACTCTTATCAGCACTGATTTTGCATAGACTTTCATATTTTGTTTCCGAACATTGTCTTGGTGAATGTTCACTGGCTGAGCCATAGATTTCGTACGCTAATTCACAGTGTCTCACATCGGGTCTAGAAAAACATATTATAACGTAATTATTACAATTCCCAACCTAGTTTTTGACTAAAGGAATTATTATCAAACGGGTTGATGGTCTCCTACGAATGAAGCCATGTTACATGTATCGACTGACGACCATCGCATTCAGTGAAGGCAGACATAACTTGAAAGGTAATGAAGTAACGTAATGTAAGTAATTGTAAGTAATGAAGTAGAATTTGTGCTCAACGCGTAGTTGTTCTAAAATGTATTTTTGCTGTTTCTGTATCATATGTCTGATCTCAGGCAGATTTTCACACGAAAGATTTTATAGGCAACACTAAAAGGATGCCTATTCGATTGTTTATTATAAAACATGAATTTCGCTTCATGATAAAACAAGAATTTCCAAATTTGGAATTTTGTAGGTTGGTCACTTTGGGTGTCAGTTGTAGTAATTTCATGGCGCGAATGGGCATCAGAACATTATTAAAAGTACGTGTCAGCTAAACGGCATTACCTATGAGGCTTGCATGTTATGTCGTAATAATCGTTTGGATACATTTGCCCCCTGATTGGCTTACGCACACCCAAATATGGGCACGGATCGTCTTCGGGAAACTTTCCTTCTCTCTCAATGTTTAGAAAAGCATCGTTCAAGATTTTTGTTACATTTTTTCGTCGCTTGTACATCCTATTTGAACTCCACATTTCTCGATACTCTGAGAATAAATTGTTTAAAATGATAAAAAAATGTTTAGAAAATATTGCGCATACTATACAGACGTTTACGATATAAGGTGGTTGGCGAAAAAAGTATGTTTATGATTGGCCAATGTTAGCCAATCAGGGACATGACTAGTTCCCAAACTAAGTAACAGAGAAGAAAGCAAGGGGATTCAGTTTTGACGGTCCCTTTCCACATAATCGTTTAACAGCGATTTCATATCCTTATTATCCAGGACTGGTTTTATTGCGTTTAGATTGCTAAAATGGTAGATAAAGTTGAAAAACGCTCTCATACATCTTGTGAATGGCTGAACCGGTTCCTACTTCTCCATGGAATACGTATTTAATGTATGGAGAAGTAGGCTGTACCGGTTCAGTCATTCACAAGATTTTCAACATCAAAATATTTCAGCTCAGTTGTTCAATAAATAGATAATTTTGTTTTCCATTTTGAGCTAGCTTATGCGCAGTTCAAGCTTAGAGTTTGTTTAAAAGCAATGAATTGTCATGCATTGCTGGCCATTTCCAATTAATCAATTTCCAATTGGGTTAACCCAGTGAACTGTAATAAAACCTGTAACGCTAACTTGGTCGCATTCTTTGCAGTGGCGTAGCCAGCCTGACGATTTTGCCCCGCTATGTAAATTTCGAGTTATTATAATTATTCATATCTTTAGAAATCTATTGTTTTCACAGTCAGTGAACACCAAAATATTAGCATAGCGGGACAGATTGACAGGCTGGCTACGCTACTGATTCTTTGAAGCCAAATTTGAAGGTAGTTTTTCTGAGGTTTTGAACGCTTGAGACAGACATAGAGAGAAATTATCTTGGCATTTATAGAACTATGTAAAATACAGTCATTTGCTAATTTTTATGAAATTTGATCGAGAAACAGAGCAAAAAACACAATATTGGGCTTCAGCCAAGTATAACACTGAACTATAGGAGATCTATAGCGTTCCAGGTTTTATTACAGTTCATTGTTCTCAACCTCATTAACTTAATGACGTCTGGTAACGGTCAAAATATTGCAAGAACTTGCGCATGCAACCGGTACCCCTCCTGACGTCATGCCGCATATACCCTCAACAATTCAAAGCAAGACAATAAAGCCTTTTTTTTATTGTTCTTGAAATTGGAAAGCTAGTTTCAGCCAGTTTACTTTAATGCATGCGGTTTAACACGTTACCTGTTTCACGGACGAACTTTTGCTTTATTTGTAACTGGACTTTGGAGCTTCCTAAGAGGTAAGAACAACCGATATGTGTAAAAAAGTACACTGTGACCTATAGCGGGAAAATTATACAGTTCCAACCCGCGTCTCGTATGAATCATATATTTTTTGTATTTCTCTCAAGGTGGCTTTCGTTTTTTACTTAACAGGAATATCTTAGCACCTTTAGAACGGGCATATAAGAAGATGTCTTTAACTATTTACGAGGTCAAACATTTGGTACCCGTTAAGTGACAGATTTGTATAATATATATTAAGCACTTATCACGGGGAGTGCGCTGATATTCTTCCTACATGCAGGAAATCTTTTAAAGATTCTCCAGTTTGAAATGAAACATTTATTACCGAATATATAGTCAAATTTCATATACCCGAATCAATTTTATTCTATTCACAACAGTGTTCAATTTTGATAATCATCAGTGAACCAAAAGCATGTTAAAATAATACTAATCCAGCGAGTTTATGTCAACAACGAATATATGACAACGAATTAATGACGATGAAGTGATATGAGAAATTCAAATTTCGCAGTTTTTAAATTTTTAAACAGTGGTGGAGAAAACTTCCTAGAATCACATAAGAAAGACATCAACCTGATCTATTTCCAAAGAAATAAGGATCCACTGTTTTATTTTGGACGTCACAAAGCATTTTGTGCTCGCGGCAGGTTAATACAGAAGATATTCTACGCAAAAGTGCCTCGTCGGTAAACAAAGATTATGTTGTATCAACGTAAGCCATGTTTACAGTACTTGCCTGGACCTATTTTTGTACTTGGCTTTGTAGTTTAAACAGGATTTCTGACATAGATCTAACAAAGATATATTCGTTATATAGCTAATATTTACCATCATTACCTGTATAGAAAAGTGTTTCTTGTGTAAACAAATAAAGAGTACAAATTGCAACAGCCATCAAAATCTTCATAGTTTTTTTCTGAAACAGAAAAACATCTGTGAGTGACATATTTAATGAAAAATATCTCGGCCATTCGGGTTTAAATTCTCACATGAATAGTCAACATTTGGACAGCACGTCGATTGTTTTCAAAATTTTAATAATTGAAATGAGCATATATAATCTAGATTAAACCTAAGTAATTTAGCCTGTAGGTACACCACGTAAGTATTTAATACTGCAAAGCTTTATTTATCGACTGTCACCATGCAAACATACAAGAATATTAGATTAAACCTGATATTCTTCAATTGGGGGTTCTCTTTCATAAAGGTTAGCTTCAAAAGTATTTTCTTTTCAGCATGTTAAAACGGTTAAAAAATCGCTACATCCGGTGGATAGCGCGCTATCCAGCCGCTGTACAGCCGGCCCGAGGTACTTACACTACATAAATAGAGAATAATACATGGATGCTCGAAAATATGGAATTTATTTCAAGCGTTGAGAATGATATTGAACGCGTGAGCGCAGCGAACGAGAGAGATATTATTCTCAACACGGGAAATAAATTCCATATTTTCAAGCATCCACGTATTTTCGTTTTTTTTTAATACATAATATAAACCTTTTTTTTTTAAATTTTTCTTCCCCCGGGGCGCGTATACCTGATTTCTGATTGTTGGATCAAACACGATAATCGGACGTGTGTTCAGTATTATTGTAATTATTAAATGAGGTTGAACATGCATGATATGAAGAATTATCAAGCCGAGGTTTGTCGTTGTCCAAGCTTTGTACAACGGAAAATAGGCGCTGGATAAAACTTATCCGCTGGATAGCGGGCATAGTAGCGACGTATTTAATTTCGAACAACAACGTCCGCTGAATTTTCGTTAATTATGCGGATTGAAAAAAAATAGCAAATGATACGACTTACCTTTAAGGAAATCATTTTCCTGTTCTTCAGAGGCAGTTTTTGTAAAGTACAGTAAAAGCTATAAAATTATACAAATAAAAAGAGATAACGTCAAAATTGCGTTTAAAACTAATAAGCTGTGAACAAACAGCACGTGAACTAGAGCAAACAGCGTGAAGTGAACTACATTTAACAAGAAGACATTTGCTCTGGAGTTTACTCCGGCCATAAGCTTTTGAAGCGTAGCGAACCTAAAAGGTCTAAAATGTCGTTGGACATCAGACAGCAGATCGTTTTTAAATAAATACACAGAAATTCAAATGCTATACAAGCAAACCGTTCGTTTGTGTTCACAATTGTAAATATATTATATTATATTCAAAAACTCATTAATAATTCATAAGCATTTTAGCCAATGAAATCAACCCTAAGAAGTCACGTGTGTTGGCTTTATACGTGCAAAGTACCATGGATACCAATTAATGACATGACATGATATATGATAATTTTTATGATATTTTATGATATTATATGATATTATATGATATGATATGATATGATATATGATATGATTTGATATGTGATATGATATGTGATATGATATGATCAGGCCTCGGTCTGATATTCACAGTACAGACCTCATGCTCGGTAAATAATCAGTTAATAACTTAAAACGTGACATGGAAATCTGTTTTTGAAACGTTCTTTCAAACAGCATAAGAAGAACTGTCCCACAATTTGGAATGCGATTACTGTACCACAATCATAAGAAAGCAAAACTTTAATTTTGCCTTTCTCACGATGAATTTTTGCGGTACTTTCAAATTTCTCAACTATAGATTGAATAAATTAAAACAACATGAAAAGCAAGTTTTTTACAATTAACAGACCATTTTAAGAATAAAATCAGCCTGAAGTTAAAGACGGTCGCCGTTACGAGGTCTTGCGCATACAGTTTTGGCTAGAAAGGCTAATTAAAGTTGCATATGACCAAACAAGCTCTTCTATTATTCGAAAGTTAAAATATACAGTGGGGTCAAAACTTTGAGTCCGGTTGATGATTTCTCTTAAATTGCAATAAATGATATGTTGTGGGTTGGAAATTTGATATGTTGCTTGGAACTTGCATGTGCATGTGATAGTAATACCTCCCATATGTTTCTCATTAAACCTCGTGCATGTTATTTAAGTTGCACAAGAAATGCGGAATAGAAAATAGCAGATAATCGAAATCAACAATGAAGGAATGTCTCAAGGTGAAGTTATGTACATGTGTCGACGAAACAGTTATAAGGAATGTATTGAATGAAATGATGACTGGGAGAGCAAGAGCAACTCCTGCAAAGGAAGATGAAAAGGAAGTATAAAGAAAAAGAGGTCACACAAAATATTAGAACAGCGTCAATCTGTGTTAAATCCTAGAACATGATTGTATGCACATGCAGCGCCGTCGTTATATCTATGTGAAAATTCATAATGATTGGATAAATCATTCTTTGTTCAATTTCATAACAGTTTGACACGCGATCTATATAGATCAGATGCGCGTGGAATATTTGCGCTTGAACAACAAACGATTTGTTAATTTAAGAAAATCATAATCTTTTCTAATCTAATCTTTTCTAGGAAAATCATAACCTAATCTTTTTTTAAGCGCATTTCTGATTTTCTTAATTCGTAAATTGCTTCTTAGAGCATTGATGAGTTGCAAACTGCAGTGGCTTCTGTATTTTTAATGAATGTCTCGATATATAATTCCTGAAATGAAAACCACCCTTTGAGGTGTTATTTTTTTTGCACGGTGATGCCGATGGTAACCAAAAGTAACCACATTTATTGCAGCATACCATTAAAACAGAGGCTCTTCATCTGTAATTCAAGGTTAAAACTTTATAATTGGTACTATATAGCTATAAAAGTTTTGTTTGCTAAAGTGGGCCCTATAAAAAATATAACGTCACTATGATACAAAAGATACGGTAGCAACATAGACTTCTAATATTAGCTGGTAGCGTATTAAATATAGCTAGTAGCTGCTGAGTGTTTGAAAGCCATGTTTCTCTTGGTACTTCAATAACTGGAACCCATGCAGGAAGATCGCAAATTATAAGCACTCGCATCATGCAAGAAAAGGGACAAATACTTGGGAAAATTTAGTATTCTTGTCATACGCCATGTAGTCTGATTTGCCTAAAAAGAAGCAATATATTTCTAATTATTACATACACAAGCGCCAGATATGAGGTATGCTGCAATTTCATTGGTTGGCTACTAGACAGATATTAGCTCATATCTGTCTAGTAGAGAAAGTAAACAAAATGGCCGAAGATTTGGGGAGTTGAGTGAAATAGAAATCCAAGCCTAGTTGATAATAGCACACCAAAATGCACCGAAAGGGCGACAAAGTTTGTGTATATAATAAAACAGTACGCGCCTCGTCGGCTATCAGCTCATATACGACTCGAGTTCGCAGAATAACTGTTAAATGTTAACAGCAATCCTGAACTTGCTCTAAATATCGGGTCCATGCAGACTTTCTTGAAAGGTCAAAATGGAACAACAGAGAATAGATCAACACTAAAGCAATTTCATAATCGAGTTTGTTAACGCGGGTTGGGACGAATTTGAAACCGTGCTCAAAATCGTCCGACTCAGGTATTCACGCGGTAAAAGTGGATATAGATGGTCCCAAATTCGTTAAGTCTCGTGTGAACGTAGCCTTACATGGAAATGACAAGGAACAGACACGCCGATGTTGAATTATCCATGTCTGTATCAATTCTCAACAGAAGTTGGGAAAGTTTAAACTATGATAAATTATTTTAATATTTCCAAATTTTACTATTTACCAAGTCTTGTGATAAAAATTAGCAAACATATTGAAGTTCAATAATTTCCTAGTCGTTTTATTGCAATTATTAATTGTATCGTAGTAAATTTAAAGATTTTGCCAAAATAAACAAAAAGGTATTTACATACATGTAACCTGTACAGCCCTGAAGAAGTATGTCGATTTTCGACGATTAACGAAAATACTGGTTAAAGGTACCAACATTGGATAAATGTCTTTGACAAAAATCTATGGCGCTTTGACAAAAATTTATGATGCTTGTAATGGAATTCATGTCCCTAAATGTTGCTAATAATAAAGAAATAATATTCTTGTATGTTTGCATGGTGATTTAACTTGTAGGTACACCCCGTAAGCATTTAATACCGAATAAATTTTCCCGTCTAAACTTTTCTCAGTTTAAAAAAACATTCAGGAGTTTCTCAAATATCAACAAGGTCATGGACGGGGCAAGGCTAAATATTAAATAAACAAAATGTTTATCGTAATTTTTACTTGAGTATACTTTATTAAACCATTACGTATACGATACCCTTTTTAGCATTACCCACTACTAACAACTCCTCCGTCCCTAATAGTTAACATGCACAACTCAACAAAACGGGCTACGAATACACTCATTAACTTAATGTTATACGCGTTTAAACTGGCTCGCTTGCTTATTGGTCGAAACGACAACTCATATAAATTTCGTCTACCATACGTATATAAATTCATACGATAATCACATGCGGTGGCAATGTCATGCCGTTCCAAAACAAACGTACAGACTTGTAGATGGGGAAGAGAGCAGTGAGTAAACATAATAGGTATTAGGTGATATATACTACAATCGTGAAAAATGGTCATAGTCATAGAACATAGAACATAGAACTTCTGCATGAGCACTACGTGGGAGGGGGGGGGGACAAAGATTCAAAAACAATTTGAATTGAATTCCTAATTACTGCCATTTACTTCTTAAGCCAACCTCATGCATGCACGCAATATGTATGCAGGGCATATGTAAAGCACACATCCTCGGAAATACTAAAGAATTGCAGTTTTACTTCAAACCACAAGGGATAGTTACCCAAAAACATTCTCACAGCGTTCCCATAAGACATTTTAATGATTTGAAAACCTGAGTATACTGAAAAATTTATGGCAATTGCACTCAATTTATGCATAAAAAATTGTTTTCTACTTATTATCTCTACATTATTACGGAATTGAACACAATACATGCAATAAGCCGTTCCAGGCAAAAACAACGTTCTAGAAATACCTTTACGTCAAGTAGTAACTGTAAGAAGAGGAAATACAGACTGATCGATCCCGACCATGAAACTCCGAACACACAAAATTTTGAAACAATACTCTTTTGAATTTCGATATGAACTCTTGGAAATGTTGCTTAGGAGCATGGTTGTCAGGAATAGTTATTTGAAAAAGCTTCCAATATACTCACTGTAACGCGAGTGAATGGCTTATTTCTGCATTTGACCTGACATATAACCTTCTTCTACCAATTCGTTACCAGCACTCAACACAGATTTATGCACAGAAAATAAATGTTCCTAAAATTGTTGAGTACTGGCGGGCAATTGCAATTAAATGTAAATTATCTGCCACATCTGTAGTTCTAATAACTTAGAAAGCATTGAAGTATTTGCATAAATATAGAAAATGGGCAGTTTAATTTCCATATTCATTGTACTTCATTGTTGTGAATGGCAAAGTCTGTTGAAACAGTGCTTGGCGACCAAATTTGTTGAAACAAGGCTTAACACAACTAAATACTCGTACGCTAACGTTAATTGCATGTGCATGTTAACTAGCTATAGCATAAATTCGGCTGTCATAGTAGGCATAAGTAATACAACAGTCGTAGCATGTTTATCGCGTCGAATGCAATTCAAATAGTTAGGAAGGACGATAATGAAGCTTAATATAGGAAATATCCTGTTACAATTACTATTAACAATTGTAGCATATGCATGAAGACGTGTGATTAGAGAAACAGTTTAACAGATTACAATGAAATGTTGATAATTATGTTTTCAATGAACCATGTGGTTATAGTTTCGTTGAACGTTAAAAGATCAATAAATTTTTTAAGCAAAGGAAAATTTTTTACGTATTCTCATCTGCTAACGTGCTCAGCGTCCAATATCTTTTTTTTTGGTTGGACTTTGCATCTAAAAATCAAATATTTGACTCTCTCATGCCCAGACCTTGGCGCACCAGCAAATCGAACTCAAACACATTTTCTCGTTTCGATATATAAAATGCAAATTAGGTTTTTTATTGGTGTTAAACTTTAATGAAGTGAAACGGTATATTATTTACTGATCTATTTGAAGCATTAATAAACTTCGTTTAATCGTTTTTTACGTTCGTTTCTGGTGTCTTTAAACGCATAATGAAGCAAATATTGCATGATATCAAGAAATATCGTCAGATCAAGCTCAATGTCAATGTTATCAGCTCGATCTTCGTTTCAGCAGATAATAATGATCTTTGGTCTGAATAATTAACAGTTATTCTGCGAACTCGAGTCGTATATGAGCTGATAGTGTGCTATTATCAACTAAAGCTTGGATTTCTATTTCACTCAACTCCCCAAATCTTTCAGCCATTTTGTTTACTTTCTCTACTAGACAGATATGAGCTAATATCTGTCTAGTAGCCAACCAATGAAATTGCAGCATACCTCATATGTATATCATACCTTGTGTATATAATAATTCTTAATATCATGCAAACGCCATATCCTATTAATTGTTTATTAGATCGTCGTATTTTTAAAAGTATATGTATTTCAAAGTGTAAGGAAACCGTTTGTTTACATACTGATTTGACTTTAAAGTACACGCTGTTAAACTAACAAAGCCGAAACTAAAGCGATATTTGGGAGGGTGAATATTCATATATTCTGTTCTGACAAACAGATTTCTATTGAAAATATAGAAAAACACATTTCCAATTATCGCATTTCGTTTCGGTCCTGAAACATCCCGGAAAAGACAAATTAGTGAGTCAGTTTAAACTTCATGATGTCTTTGGGACAAGAAGAAATATATAAAAATAAAGAACATTTGGATTGTCACGCCAATCGGTGGTTTTAAAACACAAAGAATCTTTGCCATTTACGCGTGCATGCACATTGAGAAGACTTGAGATGCTTGTGACAATTCTTCTATTTTTCACAAAACATTATATATTATAATATATAATTGTATATTTGTATGATATCTCTACTTATATGTCATATCTTAAGTATTGTCAGGTATATTACTTATATATAACAGCCAGTGCTGAAATATTTTGGATGTGAAAATAGCGATGGATAAGTTCATGATTGTTAACTGTTACGAAACATATCGATCTTCACACGCCCACATGTAATTCAGTCGCTCGTATAAGAATTCCTCGACGAAATTTTCCCTGTTTAGTTTTTAATTGTTTTCATACTAATACCTATTGATTCATACCAAATTTTCGGAAATTTTGCACGGTGAATTAATTATATAAGTCATCAATTATTTAATCTGTGGATACTGTAATTCTTCGAAATTCAGTCAGTGTTTGACTGCCTATTTATAAACAACGCATGCAATAATAGCTAGAAATAGCTAGAACACTTTGTTGCATTAATTATACTTTAACGGTTTCAATATAGGTTGTATATGGTTGTATAACACTGATCTTTTAGCGTCCAACAAAACTATGCCACATAGCTTCCTCAAAACATATTCAATATTTTATTGCCGTAATCTATTAAGGTGTTTCTCTAATTGCGTATTCATGTATAACATATGAAAGGTGAATTTGAAAACTCTACTCTAGCAACATGAAATTGTAATTGATACACCGCTTCAGGTACTTAAACATATACCTCTCATAACATCTAAAAGTTCATTGTACCTTTGTCAAAATGGTGAATCCATAGCTTGACCACGAATCTATGCTATTCTTATTTTCTTCATAATGATATATTTTCACTATTTAGACCAGTAGCGTATCCAGCCTGACAATTTTCTTCTGCTATGCTATATTTGGTGTTCATTGGCTGCGGAGACAATTAATTTCTAAACAAATGAATAATAAAATAACATGAAATTTGCATAGAAGATTGTGTTGTCAAGTTGGCTACGCCACTTTTTTGATTTCCTGTGTGTCGGCGGAGGCGAATACGGAATTTTATTGCACGACTGTTAACTATTACGAATCACAACTCACACGCTTTCAGTCGCTCGTAATATAATTCTCTGACGAAATTTTGCATGGTGAATTCATGATTTAACTCATCAATTTATGTCTGTGGGTACTGTTACTCTTCGAAATCCAGTAGGTGATTGACTGTCTCTGAAACAAGGAGTGCAATAATAGCTAGAATACTTTGCTGCACTAATTACTTTAACGATATCAATAATTCCTATGCATGGTTGTCTAACATTGATCTTTTAACATTCAACAAAACTATACCACATAGCTTCCTAAAAACATCTTGAATATTGTATTGCCCTAATCTGTTAAACTTTTTGTCTAATTACGTATTCATGTATCACATTTAAGAAGAATTTGAAAACTCTAGCAACATGAAATTGTAATTGATACGTTGCTTCGGGTAAACATATACTTCTCATGACATCAAAAAGTTCATTGTACTTGTGTCAAAATGGTGACTAGCTTCACGACGAATCTATACTATTCTCATATTTTGGTGTTCATTAGCTGTAAAGATTTGTCGCTTCAATAACGCAATAACAGTTTTTTTTTGTTTAAACTATCTTCAAATGGGGCTCTAAAACTTGCCTAAAGTAAATTTAATAGGCACATAAAATTATTTCGAGAACAACAATGGCGTCACTCGGTTTAGCAAAAAATACAACGCACGCAGTTTTTTTATGATAATTTAACTTTTTTAGTTAAACGATGTTGAAAAATGCAATAATCACACAGCTATAGTTGATTTATTGTGTCAAATATATAAAAATAAAACTGGGTTGAAGTGATTTTAAAAGGTTCCAACTAGATACAATCATGTTCTACGAGAACAAACATAGTGACATTTTAACATCAAAACACGACGCATGCAGTTATTGGCGATTCTTAGCCTTACAAGCGCAAAAAGAGGCTGAAAAAAGGTAATAGATGTTTACCCTGTATTATTTTGTTCACAATATTTAAAGCAAAGTTTCTCAATTTATTAAAATTGTAGTTACAGGGTACAAATAAATGGCGATCCTATGGGCTCACACACTAGTCTGCATGTAGTTACAAGTTGTATAGTTACTGTCCTAATGCATTCTTTTGTGATATAAGATGCTATTTGTATGTGGTCAAAGAAAACTTTATAGCTTTGATTTCAAGTTACAGGGTCTCAAAACACTACCTAAAATTTTATGTATTCTTTATGCCAATACTTCCAAGACTGGAATAATGAGCACTGTTTTCAGTCAAGATGAAAAATGAAACGCACTTACTTTGAAAATTTATCCGACTTTCTGGTCAGGTAGAAATATAATGTTTACATTTAAAAAAATCCCTCAGAATTTGCAAACATATGCTGTATATATTTTGCATTGTTTTTTCTGAATAAAGAGCAAGGTTGCATAACAACTTAAAAATTGATGTGATAAAGCCATATCACGAATGATGCGTCAGCATCTTGAGTGCCTTAGCTAGCGTTTCCAGTCACTATCTTCTGGATTGCCTATGGTTTTACAAACTTCATGCTAACTCAGCAAGTAGTTGCTTGATGAGCATTTCCTTTTAAGCATTCAATGTCAAAATTTGACAGTGACAGTGGTGTTTCTACGAAACTGTTTGTCTGTATCTAGATAAATTAAGTCATCGTTAAAAATGACACACTGTTTGCAAGGAAGCTTCTGCTTTCACCCAAACAACGAGACTTCGTTCTTAAGTTTTCGTTCTTAAGTTCTTGAGGGATTTGTAAGTGTTACCTAATATTGGGTAACACTTACAAATCCTGTATTAAAAAGTTAGTGAATATTCAAAAAAAAATTGTGAGATTTATGACTTTCAAATCTTATTTTGATCATTCCGAACCAATTTTTAAAGAATTGCAAATACTCAATTTATTCAAAATAAATTATTATTTAACAAGTATATTCATGTTCCGATATTTTCATTTACAAAATCTTCCAGAAATATTCAGAAATTATTTCTTTACTAATAGGGAAATTCATAATCACAACACACGAAACTCGAGATTACTACATAAAAAGTTCAGTAGAACCAACTACGCAAAACATACTCTTGCTAGTAGAGGCATAGAAATTTGGAATAATCTCACTGAGCAATGTAAAAAACCAAGATCTTATGACTCCTTTAAAAAAATAATTAAAAAACACTTTCACGCTTAGATAAATATTAACATACTCTTTATCACCTATATCACCATACTCCCTACTATTTTTATTCTTTTTTTCCTTTTTTTATATATATACATATTAATATACCTTTTACTTTGTATCTTTTTATTATAAAAAAATAACATTCGAACTGACATTATATTTAAAATCAGTAACTATTTTAGTTCAGTAAACTAGGGGCCTAAAATAAAAGCCATATGGTTTCTGGTAGGCTCCTAGCCAAAAAAAAGTTGTTTTGAAATTTAATATGTCGGTGGAAGAAGGGAGATAAATGTCTACACTTAGCAAATATATGATTTTCTTAATTCGTACTTCGATTCACATTATCTACAGTTCTCGTCGACATTCGGTTGAAAAATTGATTTCTAGAACATCAATCAGTTACAAATTGCGGTGGCTTATTTATGTATTTTCATAAGAACTACTTAATACCGTAGACTTTTTACCTTCGAAAATTAAATTTTCAAATGAAAATTACTTTTTCAGGTGTTATTTTCTCGTTTTTTTTGCACGCGGTGATGGTGTGCGAAATTCTACATTTATATAGGACAATATCCCAAAGTATCCACATATATTATAGGGTGCATTATGACGTAATTTATACGCCCAACTTGCTTTCGTCTTCGCAATATAGATGTGGTGCACTAGCTGATTGGAATCTTGGGAATTTTCAATGATTTTGCCAATTTTCCAATGCGCTATTTGATTTTGATCACATGATACGGTAACGTCACCACTGTATACATTGCCGTTCGATCAAGTTTAGATATAATTGGGATAGAAATAATTTCATATCGATATATTATGTGGACTTTAGTTGTATTTTAATACCACAGGTAGATAATATTATACATGTACCTGCTTCTATTTCCTCGCTTATCTAACATGTGGTTGCGTGTGGACACGCGCACGTCACACACGATTAAAGAATACGTTTAAGCTTAACTTTGATATTTTAAGCTATATCATTATATTTTCTATATGCATATTGATATTACTGTAAAAGTAGCACGAAATTAGTTGCCGTAAAAGAACTTAAACTGATGTCGTGACCATGTGATCCGTTATAGTGTCAACCGGGTAAAACCCAGCATGAGGCATTTACATTAGCGAAAATATTACACAAATTACATTTTAATATAGGGTTGTAAAATGAACAAAGGTTTTTATACAAGCATGCACGAATTCTAAAGTTGAAGTTCGAAGTCATGTCCGTATGTAAACAAACGTTTTGAACTTCTCAAGTTTTTTAAAAGCGATGTGCTGTGTAAAGTTCTAACAACATTTAGTTCTCAACGCTTCCATAAATATGAACTATACAGTGTTCCATAAGCTTCGTATGACAAGAGTGGTAAGACGCTCGAGTTATATTAACGCCAGAGCAGGCGCGTTGCTATCATTAGTCACATACCTCCAAATATACTTCGTCTATACTGTATTTATTGTCTATGAGTCCGTAAGGTAATACATACAAAATCTAATTATTGAGAATCGATTTAATCAGGTGGTTGAACTATAATATTTTAGAACTGAACGATAGTTGTGAGAATGTTTGTTCATATAATATATATTCAGTTCTATGCGACGGATTTCTCCAGCAACACGGACATGAAATAATCTAGTGTTTTAGGTCATTAGGACAACGTTAGTTAAGGAAATTCGTTCAAAAAATATATTAATTTGGTGTACCTGAAACATGTAGATCCCTGATCGACGAATGTGCTCTGTATTTAAGATAGTTACAATATAACTACCTTAATTATAACCATAGCAATTCAAATATTGTGCTTTCGACTGTCGAGACTTGAGTGCAACGATCTCAAGGAACGCCCCTCTGGTAGAATCCATGCCCCCTTCAGAAATCCAGCAATGTACGCAGATATTAAGTCGAAAATTATTTTTTATTTAACAAGCTTTGCTTTGAAGTATGAATACATGCGTATTCAGCAATTTGCATACATTTGCAAGTTGAAAAAGTCTATTGTGTGTATCTAAAACCAAATGCACACATCAAGTATAGCATTCTGTCATAAAATATATGGTATTATAGCGAAAAAATTATAAATAACTGTAAAAACATACTTGTTTCGAACATACAAAGTTGTTTTTTTTTGCGGACAAAAATAGCTAATTCCACTATATTTCAAGAGTTACGGGAGAATTTCGAAAGGGTTGGGATGCGTTTCTGTTAGACATGCGTACATATATAAAAGAAAATTTAACTTGCATTTCCTGGGTGAAAGTTGAAACTATATGATCTATATCATTATAATAAAGATGAGCAGGTTACTATGATTATGATCATGAGGCTTACTACAATATTCTAAAGACCCTTTCCCTTATGTTAGAAGTCGGTGCGGGCAATCGTAAAAACCCTCAATTGTTCTCGTATTAACTTTGGCTTTCACGTATATGAAGCGTCGAATATTTCACGGATTTTTCACGGATTTTCCACGGAGGTTTTCAGCACTACAAACTTCAAATCATTTGCCCATCGTCGAACTGAAAGAAGTCATCCATTTTAGCCTTGGGGATTAGACAAGTATGCAAAACCGTATCGAACAGAACAGTGTCGTGCCTTAATTAGTTTCCTGAATTGTTAATGGCCGCCATATCGATCGAAAACAAGGGTAATTTAATATTACTCCGACTTGAGCGACGGAGTTGAGAATTTGCCTCCGTTTTGTTGTGTTTTTGTTTGTTTTTTTAAATATTTTTCGTCGTCGCAAGTGCGTGACCGTATTTATCTACGTCAAAGTTTTGTGGAGCACAGCTCGAAATCTTTGCCCCGAATATTCCGATGCGCGATTTGATTTCGCACGCATGACATGGCAATTCCTCCAAGACGACAATACAACCGTTCTTTTGATGCTGTTCGATTACGTTTAGACTTAATTGGGGCAAAAATATATTTAATACATGTAGATTCTAGTCCTATTGTAATAATATTGCTGCTATTTCGCCGTTTAACAAGATGTGTTCGTGTACGGGCGCGTTGACACGTCGCAGTTTCCACAGGATTGAAGAATTCGATCAAACACAGCACGAGTAATGTAAATGACATTTGGGAACACATTACACATGCATATTACAAGTTAATATAAACCCTTATGTTATAATATAAGCGAAAGCTTTTAATATAAGCGCGAATTTCAAAGTGTAAGACAAAGTAAACGATATATCATGCGACGTAATTGATCAGAATGATAGTGATCAGATTTAGGGCATCGAACTATCGCTATAATTTATGTATTAATCCCCAACCGAAGCCAGAAAATGTTAACATTCATTGACTATAAAGGCGGCTGAAAGCCCTTTCCTTCTGAAATCTACATTATCTCAAATGTATAATAACAGTTCTGTCATTCAGTTAATCATTAACAACGTAGTAAATTTGAAACAGCAACAAGAACCTACGTTGGATTTACTGAGTATGAACAAGTACATTAAATATTAAAAAATATTACCTGAAAGGTAGATTTCTGACCTAGAAACACTATCTATGTCGTTTTAAACTGTGAAGAACCTGTCGGAGGGGTTCTTGAAAGCATCATGCAATTGCATTCCTTGGTGGCACTTCTAGCAATTGAATAAGTTCATTTAAGATGTGAGCATAAGAGAAAATACTGTGTACGGCGAGGATCTATTTAAAACGAGGCTAAAAGCGGATTCCACTTACAGCGAAATCGTTCGCTAGCGAAATTTTGCATATTTTCTTTTGAATTTTAACAGCATAAATAAATTAGTTTCTAAGTGTTTTGAGGATGGATTCTAAGTGTATTGATTTGATTTATTCGAGATTAATAAAGTGGAAATCGAGATTCCTATAAGTTCATTTCAAAACTATAGCTATTATTAAGCTTAAGGTTGTATTTGAAAATACTGAACACATGAAAATACAATTTAACTACGATTTGGAAAGTTAACGATGCTATTGAGGATGATTTACTTTAACTACGTTTTAACTATGATTAACGCTAACTACGTTTTTATATAACTGGCTTAACTACGTGATTAAAGTTAACGACGTTTTAACTACAAAAAAAGTGATTAAAAAGTGATTAAGAGTTTTATACAACCGGCCCCTGCATGGCACTAAACTGCCGTATTATAGTCTATAAAATTGGAATATTTTAAGAAAACCTATTTGCAATTAGTAGTCCCAAATTCTTCCCTTTTTGATGAATTTCAACCAATAAATTAGTTCATTTAATAAAGATTTCATTTGTTTTGCCAACAAAAAATGATCTTGTCCAAAAGTACATACGAGTGACCACGAGTGACCACGAGTGACCACGATTGATCACGAGTGACCTTGAATGACCACGAATGACCACGGATGACCACAAATGACCACTGGTGACCACGAGTGATTTTTTTTGGATTGGCTATCTATAAAATTGGAGAACAGTTAAAACGAAAAACAGGGAAAGCTTTCTTGGTTTAAGACTTGGTTTTAAGTTTGAAGTTTTGTGTCATTTTTCTATCCTGGTTCCTCTGCTTTTCCGTCTCCCTGATTTCCTTGTTCCATTGGTTTACAGTTCCCGGATTCGTATTTCAAAGATAGACTTTGGTGATTGAAAATGGGACTGAAAAAGCTATTTTTGTATCGAGGTATGCATGGGGTCACTTTTCCCGCCCGGTGAAGAGTCACAAAACAAAGATGGCGGAAAGTCTTAAGCGCAAGGAATATAGTCCTAAAAGGCTTGAACTTTTTACAAGATATAAGCGTCGAGGAGAATTTAAATGCAAACCGATTGTTTTAAGTGATGAGTGCGAGGCCGAAGGCAGTTTACAGTCTACACGAAAAAGACTTAGTTTTAGTTTTAACGATGGCGACACTGAGTCTAGTGAAGAATGTGACGAAATGATAAAAACAAACGATAGCAATGACAGCAGTGAAGTAAGGAATTGAAATGACCCCGTTTCCCGCTTTTTATCAACTACCTTAAACTTTGTAATGATGTTAAATTATTGAAAACATAGTGAAAAGAAAAGGGTCAGGGGAGTATTTACATAGTAAATCACAGTCTTAAAAATAGACAAACGGACAGGTCAGGATTTGCTAGTGATTTCTTCTCTCTTTACTTTTCATGGGGGCCAGTTTTTTTTTCGCCCACTGTATATTTTACATGATATTAATTTATAGTTATATATTGATTACTATATTCAAAACTGAAAATGAAATTTTTTAGACTAGTTCCAGTTATTTTCTGAATTATGGGATTACATCAGTTTTCCGTAGAACATGGACACGGAAAACTGGACATCAACTTTCTATTTAAAGCAGCGAAAATTTGGTTTTTATATAAGTAGTGCTTGCGGTAACAAGTAAAAGATTACAACTGTGCTAAATATTTAAATGAAGTTTTTTTATTCGGGTGTACAATTTCTACCTCCAAATTGACTCCTGGGTGGTCTCTCCAGGTTTAATTGATGCATATTTTGTCTGCGTAGCTCCAGTTATGGTAAATCGCGTGGTAGGGGTAATCTCGAAGGGCTTCCTTTTCTATATCTTAAATACCCTCGCGTTTTCTTTCGTAGATTTTAGTAAACTGCTAAACCCACGAAGATAGGCACCTCGTACCCAGGGTGACAGGGCCTTTTCTCTGTGGTCATTCTGGGGAGGGATACCCGCTGAGAAAAGACCCTGGGTACGAGGTTGTATCTCAACAAGCACTGCTTTACACTTGGTTTCGATGCAACTGCTGTATAAGAAAACACTGAATGTTCACCTGAATAGTATATATTCATCTAGTCATTCCGAAAACAGGATCACATTACAACCTGAAAACATGTTAGGCAATTTAACAAAAAGTTATGAATATTATTCAGATAAAATTTTTGTTTTAATTGGTATAGGCAATTAGTAATTGTTTTATTGTCCAGGTTAAAGGCCCAGTTTCCTACTACAAAGGCAACCGAAACTTGCCACTGCTTCACACGAAAAGTCCGGATCTTGAGGAGATAATTAAATTATGTAAGTTTGGTCCGCAACCAAAAATGTTGTGCAAACAAAAACCTTTGAGAATCCAGGAAACTGCGACATTTGTTATTAATCAAGGTAGTATTGGGTTAAAGCACCCATTTGATCTGGATGCGGATGATATTGCGGGTACTTTTACCAAGAAAGACAGTGTCCATTTTACGAAATTGATGGAGTTCGGAGGTTCATGTTAAGGCTAATTTCCACTCCGGAAAACGAGCAGCGGATCGGATCGGAGCGAAAGATAATCCGTGCGTACGCCATCTGTTGAAATTTTTGGCTTATATTGATCCGAAAGCGTCCGTGACCGGATAAAAAAAGTTCAAATAGTTTTGATCCTATTCAAAATCACTTCATGGATCGGACCAGATCGGAAAAAAATCCGATCCGCTGCTCGTTTTCCGGAGTGGAAATTAGCCTTTACTCGCGATAGAAAAGGGCAAATTGATGCAGGGACATTTAACCAGAGAACAAGCCAAGGATGGAAACCTTAAACTGCTAACATTCGCAAATTACATGCAGTATTCCGAAGAAGAGCAGTGCACAAGGAAACATTGGCGAAAGAAGGGTCTTCTTTCAGCAGGGTTATCATGTCTATCATGTCTGTGGAAGAATATAACAATGTCAAAGGAAAAATCGGAGATATGAAGATCTACAACTTGCTCTATCCTCATTATTATACACTACTACTTCACTGGTGGCCATGTTGTTCCCATCCATGGCCAGCCTCATGGAACGCTAAGTCAGTAAATGCCACTGAATTCCGACTAAAGGAACATTCAACGAAAGTACAATTAAGAGAAAATGCTGCCAGTGATATGAGAGCACCTAAAACAGTTGCCCAAGAATCAACAGAAGGGATACAATTGTTGGAGATTGATTCAGTTTCGACCATTGTTAGGGATCCAAAGCAGATAACAAATTACAAGTATGTGTATTTTCGAAATGTTTATCTTCTCAATTTTCTTGCCATGTTTTATAATAAGAATTTGAAACATATGAAAATTAGAAAGAAACTTCTTGCAGTTGTATTACACGAAAAACTTGTCATTAATGTTTGACACTATAACGTTATTTTTCTGTGCGTGCATGCAGGCAGATCAAAAACCTGAAATAGGTCATGATTTAAAGCTACATATATGCTGAAATCAATTGTGAGAAAATCTGCCCACGCGCTTAATCCCGTTGTAGAACTTTCTAATAAATAATTCTCCTATGTTTCCAGGTACAACTATGGTAAAAACAAGGATTCGAACGCTGACGAGTTAAACAATATAATTGTTGAGCTTTTAAGCCAAAAACAACAAGGGGCGTATTGTGTCATCGATAAAGAGCAACCATACATCAGGGAGTTTTTTCTGCGCGACTCAAACCGCGTACAAGAATGTTTCTCTTGTCTCGAAAGAAACTGGAAAACATCCATGGTTTCCTCGTCCTCTACTTGTGCACCGAAGCAAGACCCAAGAGGAATTTCAGCATTTCTGGCAAGCAGTGAAACGAAAAACTCCACAGCTGAAGAACGTTGGCGTATTTGGAACTGACGAAGAGTCTGCAGTTTATAATGGTATATTGTCAGAGTGCGATGGCAAAACCATACATCTTTTGGGATTAGAGCATGTTAAGGCGATTGTTGAATGGAAACTTGACGAGCTCAAGTTTCCAAACGCGTCTAAAAGGCGCATTATCTCAGACATATCTGGAGGAAAATTAACACAGAAGAATGAGGGATGAGATTAGTCGTCACCTTCCACAAGGCGTAAAAAAAATTACCGTCGAACGTTTTTAACATTTCTCTTTTGTGTTTTCTGTTTTGTGTTTTCTGTGTGTCTCTAGTCGAGAAATATATGTTATTTTCTGGCTGAGAGATAGAAAAACATTTCCCTGAGGTGTCAAAAACGACCCTAAGCCCCAGGCCGAGGGACGTGTTTGAAACTGACGGGTGTGTAAATGAAGCAATCTGATTGGCGGAATTTTGCATCCGGCCCGCTGTGAAATGCAACTACCACTCATATCAACCATGCAATCAGACGCTCTCAACGTATACAGAGTCTTGAAACTAGAAACTAGACACATGTAAATGATATTCTTGTATGTTTGCATAGTGACAGTCGATAAGTGCTTGTAGGTACACCACGTAACGAAAGTTGTTTTTAATCTGATATAGAAAAGAGTTTTGTATCAAAGCCAGGCAAGACATTGTACAACATATTCGTTTATTTAATGTAATTTAACGGGTTTACAAACATGAACATAAAGAAAATTTAGAATTGGAAATAACAAAACAATAGGCCAATATTAAATAAAGATAAAATTGTGTTAAACTACCTTCTTTATGCGGTTATCCTTTTAAAATTTGCCCTTTTTTTGCGATAAATGCTACGGAATACGAAACTAAATACAAGATTATAAGTCAGATTCCCGTAAAACTCAAACGTTTGGAACAACTGCTTTTCTAGTATATTTTTGTCCTCAGTGCAGTTCTATAAAAAGACAACTTTGTCTTATTCCATCAATCTTATACACCATAATTAATAAAAAAAAAGCCAAAACAACGCCTGGAATAATGAAATTCGTCGTTTCTTTCTGTATTCGATGGAATTCACCGTGAAAATGTAAATAAAAAAACGCGCGCACCGGTCTCTGGTATGGATTTTTATTTGCTTGCAAAATAATGCACCTCAAGCTTGGGGCGAGTTCACTTGGTAGCGAAAGCAATAGCAACTTTCGGCCTAGGGGAAATGTCCGTTCGTTTTAATCCTGCGTAAACTGGAATATTTTTAAGGCGGCCCTCTTGTCTAAAAAAAAGGAAAAAATGAGAAATTCTTACACCATATATATTAAAATATTTGATAAAAAACAAACTATTCTTTCTTGCATCACTTTATGGCCTTGGGGCATAATTAAGACTTCCTCGCATATATGCTGTGACTTCTTTGTATAGCCTATATCTATTTACCAAGATGAACAAGGTAGCCGGCTACTTGGTATTACCAACTAAAGTAGTCGTGGTGATTGTCACTACATGCTAAACAACAGTTTGCCGTTGAATTAATGGCAACGTAACGACATCCTTGTTAGAGACACTGGAAATTTTTTCCCTACTACGAATCAACTTCGTCTCTAATGGTTCCAACAAAAGGACTATGTTATTCTTTTTTCTTTTGTCGATTTCTTTAACTTCATCATTATTATTCAAAGGTTTCTCCTCAAGGATATCAATGTCAGCCTCCTCTTTCTGATCGTCATAAACGCACCAAAACTATTGATTATGACAACCATGGTTAAATACACAAATATTATCGGGAAAAACATAAGATCTTTGTCCCCAACATTTTCGGGTATGTTCTCAATAACAGCAATGGCTATACTTGAATGTCTTGCCGAAGAAAGAACCGTGACAGACAGTATTGACTTCTTGGACAGGCGTAACAGGGATGCAAATATGAAAGACATCACCAGAAACGACGTGATGACAGCCGTACCAAGAGCAGTTACAGCCACAATCATCCAAGGTGAGAATTTTCGAAGGTCGCCTTTCGCTGTAGCTTGGCTAATTTTAACCCAAAACATAACAAGGAGAGCCCCAGAGGTGACGAATTTCAGATACGTATTTAACTTTTGAACAATATCTTTTACCCATTTAATAAACTCAAAAGTCGCCCAACCTAAAAATATCGGTATTTTGTCATATACTTAAACGTTGTCTTTAAACATTTTAAGGCAGTTGATGTTAAAAAATATTGCGGGATAGTGACTTCAGGGTGTACACTACAAAATGTTTTTATATTTTAAAAAAAACATTAAGATCTATTGATTTCATATTACTAGCCAACTGAAGTTATCCTAAATGAAGTTCTGAGACCTTTATGAATGCGAATGTTTTTTTTCTTCGTTCGAACCCCAGACACACCCGATGATGGAAAATTGGCGGCTAACCAAATTTAACACTGTAATGATGGAATTGCTTTTATTTAGCTTTAAATAAGTTCACATAGATGCTGAACTAAAACAATTAACTTTGGTGCAATAATAATAGTTTAGCACGCATTGTACACCTTATATGAGTACATGATTTGTTAAGAAAACGAACGGGGGTTCACGTCAGCTGGTGGGTTTAAAAAATGCTCCTACCCAAGCATTAGATAAACATTTAAATAGCTTTTCATACTTACAATCAAAGGTAAAAGAATGTACAAAACCACTCCAGGTAATATAGTGAGAAAACTGACACTGGCGGTCTGAAATGCTGGTATTAACCATGTTGTCATGACTGGAACTGTAAAGACTGATATGACGGTGGCAATTATTGCAATCAGTAATGTCAATGCTCGGTCCCCATTTGCTTCTGTCACCTACAGTTATGACATAATAAAACAAGGTCTGAAACTACAAGTGGAAACAGCCTGCATACTACTGATCAGGCAACCTAAGTATAATTTCAATTTGGCCATGGAAGTTTGAAAACTTTCGTCTTGGAAGAAGTAAGCACAATTAGTTAATACTCGCTGTTTTTCATTAAAGACTTTAAGGCCTGTTTATATGAATTCGAATACCAGGGAAAACTTTTATTCAACTTTGTCTCGGCCTCCAGGGTTAACTTTTCCTCCTAGCGCATGTGCAATAAGTAGTAGTTAAAGTACCAGCGGCCGATCTGTGATTAATCATTAATGTGTTTAATTATTGTAAATCCCATGCGGATCGGCCGCGAATATTTTAACGCGCTCGTGTAATGAATAAATTAAGCTTAATGCATATTGGGGGTGTGTGTAACGGAGTCATGAATACTAATTAAGATTAGTTGTATCAAAGTTAAAAGATGAATTACTAATTCATAAGACGGATAATGGAGAATTACAGATGTCTACATTACAGATGTAACAAAAATACTGCGCAATGATTGGAAGTTAGACTCATTAATTATTCATGATTTCACAATACAGCATTTCACCATAGAACATTTCTTAAGAAGGCACTGTCGCTTCCTATTGCAATTTTATCTTATAAACAGCGCGTAAAACTGATGTGTAGGGCTGATGGCTAACCGGCCAACTTTGTGATTTAACTGCGCTATATTATAACATATTGAAAATGAACACTAAAAATACGCACGATGTCGAACTGTTCTTTAAATGCATTCCCTGCGTGCGCATTTTATGGTAATTACCGACAGTTAATAAAGAGGATTCTCGATTTAGGATTACTAAGATTTAATCAAAGTTATTCCTAACAACGGGCGATTTTAAAACGATTCAAAAAACCACTATCCGGTGGATAGCGCTATCCGGATTTCATACAATCGATCCAGGATATAAATAACCATCACATATCCAAATAGATATCACAACACATGTGGGCACCATTTATAATTTAATATCGAGCAACATGATTTAAATTAAAAGTTTGCCAAATTTTTCGCCTGAAGAGAACGCTATTCGCCTAGTGACATTGATAGAAAGAAGCTATGTCAACACTTAAGAACTAAACACGACACTTAAAACATATTTCACCAACACGACACTTAAAACATATTTCAACTTCAAACCCAAGCCGGCGCGAGAGTACTAATTCAGCTGAGAGATTTATTACACCTGGGTATTTCGACAAAACATTGTGGAATCCACAGTTGTCCAAATTCTATGTCATGGACTGTCCACGTTGGATGATTTTGTTAGTTATGCGCATGGGCGAAATTTAAGCGAGTAAAGACTGGTAACCAGCTGATACAATAAGTGATTAAAGGAGAATGATATTTAATCTATATAAGCTATAATTATAGTCTTTTAAACAGGTAGGTGTCGATTTTGTTTATTCCGTATTTGCTGAATTAAAATAATGAATTTCCTGCTTGAAGGGGCTGAAAGACGAGTGATGATAGCTTCAGTTTTATGATATTTGAATCCGAATAATAGTAAATCAGTTATCGACTCATTTGAGCAGTGTCATAATATAAGCTTAGATTTGGCGAACACAGGAAATTTGTTGTTTGTATTAAATGAGGGAGGGATTACTGTTATCAAATAACTAGCTAGGTCATGCATATGTATTTAGTGAAGAGCATTGACGTTTACAACAACCTCGACGGTAATTCAACACTGAAAATAATTTTAGATAATGCAAGGCTATATTTTTAGCAGCTGAAGTATAATATTAATTATATGAAAGATAAGAGACGAGATTTAACTGGGTACCAGGGTCGAGCTGGCCAAGCCGGCGCCACTAAAACAAGATGTTCCACATTCTGTGAAATCACCTGTCGTATAGACATCGACCTATTAGTGCATGCAAAGGGAGGAAACGCGCATGCAAAGGGAGGAAACGCATAACCTCTGTATTCCACCCTTATTATTATGAACGCATCGGTTTGAAACGCATGCGGGTCTGGTTTGAAACTCGCAAATTTTGGTAATTGCCAGTCAGACGTGATGCAGAGGTCTATCTCTAGGGGCCCCCACTTCTGAAAAAGTGTTTGGAAAAAAACTTGGTTCAGTTTCCAATCTCTGGAATCTGTCAACAACCTGGATTACATGTCTGTTCTCACAATCAATATTCCAGGCAGATGTTCCGCCGACACATGTATTTGTTGCTGGATGCACCAATTGCATAGATCTATGGCTAGATTGGAGAGTATTTTGTGAGTGGTTCCCCCAATTTTGTTGATGTAAGTTACTACTGATGTATTGTCCATCAAACAACCTTACATGAGCTACTGCTTTGAGTTGACAAAATTTTTTGATTCCAAACGACCCGGCTAGAAGTTCTAGACAATTTATATGAAACGTCTTCTCCTTTGTACTCCAAGAACCCCCTGTATTCACCGCTTCGCAAGATGCACCCAATCCCTTTCGAGATGCATCTGTTTCGATTAGCAGATCGACTGAGCTTTGGAACAGAGCTTTTCCGTTCCAACCCTGAAGGTGGTCCCTCCACTAAATTATCTCCTTCTTCGCATTGGAGTCGAGAGTAATTAACGCCTCGTATGCATGATTCTAGGGAGTTTAACCTTTGGTTTTTTGAAGTTTGAAGGTTGCGGTATTGAAGAGAAGCAGGGAACACAGCTTCGATAGAGGCGGTAAGGAGGTCCAGGAATTTTGAACTAACTCATTTAGATCTACATTTGTTGGCAACGTTCCTTATCTTCCGCAGCTTCTCGTCTGGAAGCAGGAGTGACAAAGTTGCCGAATTTATTAGAAAACCTAAAAGCTCTACTCGTTGTGTTGGTTTGAACGGAGACTTCTGGAAGTTGATAAAAAATCCCAGACTCTCCAACAGATTTAGAGCGGATGCTGCATGGTGCAGAACCAAGCTCATAGATTCCCCCATTATAAGAATGTCGTCTAACTATATAATTAGACGAATTCCCAACATTGCTACAACTGGTTCATTAGCTTTGTGAAACTCTTGGTGCTGTGGCAAGGCCAAATGGAAAGCATGCAAACTCTAGCATAGTCCCCTTCCAAAGGAAGCGTAATGATTTCTGGCGATCGTTCCAAATTGGAACTTTCAAGTAAGTATCCTTTAAATCTACCTTCACCACTAGTCGTCATTCTTTAACAGGTCTCTAGTGTTCGTACACTAGAAATTGATTGAGTGGCTTCAAACAAACACTGAACTTATAAAGCCTGTTGCATCATGTATAGTCGATAGAGTACTTTATGTTTTGTTTTAATTCTTTAAAGTCATTGTACTTAAGTGAATAATAAAGGCAATGCATTGTTAAATTGAGACGAGTATCTTGAAATACAATTAATATTACGCCAATGAACTAAATGGGATTTCAATTAAGTAACTTGTTCCAGATGTATGCTCCACGTTTGCCCACTATTGATGATAACTGATATAAGGACGCCCATGAATCATGTCAGCGTCGACATCATGTAGTTCTATGAACGATCTAAATATTTTACCTAAATATTAGATTAATCTTCTATCGTATCATAAAGATGTGAATGTAGTATACACTGTGACCATATATGAATATTTCATAAGCAAAGCTGCTCAAATTATGTTAGGTTGTCCCCTCCTGGAATAAATTTGGTAATTGTTAAAATCAGATGCGGCTGTTTTATGTGCATCCCACCGAATCTAGCATAAAAATGCCAAAATCTGATCACCCTGGTAGTATAAGACATTATCCGTCGAGTGTTTCCTGTCGCCATAGCCATATTGTCTTACAAAGAACGCGTGGGCAACAAAACCAACTACAGCAAAAAGATTAACTAAAGGTATTAATTAATGTAATAGGATTGTATTTTAGTACCAATCACAGTTAAAATATTGCGTTGCTTCCAACAGTGACACATATATGGACATAGCGAGGAAGGCTGGTGTTTTTCAAGGGTTTCTGTTACCCACAATCAAACTGCACTTGAAAACTTAGCACCTCGAATAGGTACTTTCGCATTCAGACTGCGTGCGTATTGACTATACTTAGAAGCTACTCTTCATATTGGTGAAAAATGCATTATTTACGCTTTGTTTTATTTTAATTTGTTTATCATAGGTACGTATATTAAAGGAAATATGTACTTGAATTCGCTGTGTATATGCACGCAGGCATAAACCAATGTTTAACACAATTATAAACAGATCAGCAGTCAGTTTTTTAAACACAGGTTTATTATAAATTCTAATATGAAAAAGTCCACATAAATTGTTTTTTAAAAAAATGCGGACAAAGTAGATTAGGTGTTATGTGACCGCCTATACTCAGATGGGTCTTCTTTTTAAAATTATATATCGATCATTTATCCAAGAATTTGAAGTATTTGCCAGCATGGATGTTTACTGCGTCCAGATGTTAATACCAGATGTAGATAAAGAGTAGGCATCAATAATGATCTTACAAACGTCAAACAGTGGTATACAAATCTTATTACAACTCAATTAAAAAAACTGTTTATTTTACTTAAAAAAACAGGGTGAGTAAAAAAACCTGACACCTTTGAAATTCAAATTAGCCGCATAGCACGGCTGTAATGTGACAGAAGTTGCCTAAAATATCTCATGGGCATACGAAGCATATCAAATAAGGGAATCATTAATTAACCTAAAACATAAAGTTTGTTCCCTTTGGGAGTTAAAATGCAATCTATGCTCTGTAAATAAAAAATAACAGTTTTATCAACGCGCCACGTTGAATTATTTCAATTGGTTTAAACACTGTCGCATTAATTAACCACGTCTTGTTGATTGTACACATGGGAATTGTCAAATTCCAGCCATAAGTTCGCGGCTAATTTAACTTTCAAAGGTGTCAGGTTTTTTTTACTCATCCTGTATTTTTGACGCTATGATTTCTGACTATGATATCCGTAGCAATTTGATAATTATGTTGATTTACTTGAACTGGTTA